CCCGACCACACCTACTACTTCATCCACTCGGGGTTTGTCGTCATCACCACTAGTTTCCCTCCTTTTCGCCTCCTTCTCCCGTATCATCAACTCAGCGTCGTTCCGTGGCCAGCCATAGCCCCCTATTGGCCCAACACGCCCTGCGGAAATTGCCGACGTGGCGGCGAACGAAGAACCCCGGAATTTCGAAGGCCCAACCCAAACACGCAGCGGCCTGCGCCGCGTGGCGGCCCTCGACGGCCCAACTTTTTAGGACCACCTCCTCCACGGAGGAACTTCCCCGTTAGCCGTCGCCCACAGTACCCAGGCCCCATCGGGCCTTAAGTCCCTTGCGCACGCACCCCTTTTCCGCCTAATTGCATTCACACCCCTGAGACTTCCCCACTTTCCCCAAAAATCCTTGGCACACCCCTTTTCGCACTTCCAGGCCCCCATCCTACTCCGATCAGGAAGTCGCATTGGGCGTGAGGTTGGTATCGGAGCCCGACACATGGCTAGGTCTTAGGATCAATAGCATAATAATTAGGCGATCTGGCTAACCGAGGGCGGCGTCGCCCTCGGAACGCGCATAGACGCGACCCTATCGTCACTCTAAGTAGATCAGCTAATAGACGAGCAGCCAATATGGCTGCCAATGTGCCAAACCCTCAGCAGAATGCCAATCAACCGAGTCCTAATCAACCCGCCCCACGTGCACGGGCTCCCATGACGCCACCTGATCTATATTTATTTGACCATGTGCACCACCTTGCAGGAGCATGGTTGGCTACGCTCCAAGCACAACAATATGACGATAACGAAGCTCAGGTAAACATCCTCGCTCGATTGGGAGGTGACGCTCATCACTGGTTAAGTACCTATGTGTGGGTAGATCTTCAGACCTTCGAACGAGACTTTCTGAACCGATTTGATTACATTCACCTAGAACAAGCGCTTTACATGATCAAGGATCGAGTGCAAAAACCTCTCGAGTCCGTTGCGGAGTATCGAAACCGGTTCTATCGAATGTTTGTAAAGACTGAGCGAGGGGAGCAAGTAGGGAGAGATCTGTTCATAGAGGAACTCCGCAGCCGAACAATAAGGGCGAAGCTGCGAAAGCAGTTTTCCCCCATCAATCAACATTCCAACAAATCATGGACGCTGCAGAAGACATGGAACGGAAGTTCGCGGCGAACTTCCTGGAAGGAGAGGACTATTCTAGGGAAGGAGATTCGTCCGAACTCGCAAGGGCAAAAGCCGAATTGGCTGCGTTGCAAAACAAATTCGAAAACATGGGGTTTGTGTCGGGTCCCGTCATCTACATAGAACAGATAGCCCCTAAACGACCGATTCCAAGTGAGATCCCGAGTGTCCCCGTCCTTGTAATGCCAACGCCTGTAAGAACGGCACCCCCGCCCCCATTCGAGGCTACCGTACAATCGAATGAATCCACTGCCATACTCGAGCTGACCAAAACCTTGGTTAATCTAATTCAGGAAGGCAAAAAGGAGCAGCGAGAGCAAAATGCTCGGTTGGAAGCCATGATGAGGAACATGCGGCCCATTGTGGTGCGTGCCCCTCCGATCCAGCAAGGGTTAGCCCCGGCCCCCGCTCTTGGAGGAATCGCAAACAATCTGAACGTCTGTTATGCATGTCATCAACCTGGGCATCTAGCCCGTGATTGCCCTCACAGGCCTCCGCAACAACGTGTCGGGGTCGCGCCGATGGCCGCGGCGCCCATCGCTAACGGACCAGGACGAGTCGGAGCTCTAATGGAAGAGATAGAGGGTGGGGGAAGTGCCCTAGCCACCATAGAAGAAGCCGTCGAGCTAATCCCGTTAGATCAGTACGTATGACTTGGTTATCCCGGGCTTGGAATGATCGGAACGATCAGACCAGCGCCAGAACAAAAAGAGGTGGCGGAGTGGCGACCGTCTTTAGGAGAAATGGAGTCGAGAGGACCCACCTTCATCACAGGAGAGATCGATGTATTAAACATCATCCGAGCCTTGGACCACCGGATTCCACTTTCGATCGGTCATCTACTCTCGATCTCCCAGCAAGCCAATGAGCGAATGCTACAGCATTGCAAAGCAAACCGAAAGCGATTCGCCCTCGCTCGAACACCGAACGTAAAAGCCAAAAGCCCCACGCCCGAAGAAAACCCAACAGGCACTTCGAATCCGATACGGGTAGGTTTAATCCAGAAAGATGACCATTTTCTACGGATTCAACCCATCCCGTGGAAGTCCGCAGAATGCGATATTGAAATTTGGGGAATTCCGTATAATGCAATCATTGATTTAGGAGCGACCGTTTTGGCTATTTCGTTGAGAGTAGTCGAGAGAGCGGGAAGGAAAAACGATCTGATCATGCTCACTGAGAAAGATCAGCTTGTTTCGGCAGATGAAGAAAAAATCAAGATCGTGGGAAGAATGACCAATCTCGCTTTCCGATTGGGAAAAGTGCACACGCTTAGGGATGTCCTAGTACTAGATGTTAATACGTACGACGTTCTTTCTGGACTTCCTGCTCTTATAGCGTTGCGAGCAAACCTGGATTTCGAACGACGATCTATCGTCCTCCGAAATACAGGAGGAAAGCCCTATGCGGTGCCTATGAGACTTAACCCTTCGTACCACCATCAACGCAGTCCCACGGGTTTTGCCGATGATGGCAGGACTCTCCGCATGATCTCCTGGGATGAATCCGCAGACGGAAAGTCATCGACGAATGATGCGGACAGCAATGATGAAGACGACCCGGAGATCTCGAAGCTAGCACGACAACATGTTTACTACCCGCCACCCAGAACGATAGCAAGAACGATGCATCTAACCAGTAGGAACATCCAAAGGACCAAGGCGATGATCTTGGGTGAACCCCTCGTGCAGATTTCGAGGATGGTCGATTCTTTGGAACCCCCTCAAACCTTGTACGAAGGGATCACCCCGCTCCTCTCCCGATACAGCGACAAAAAGCACTACTTCGACATTACAGATCTACCAAGGTCCTTTAATAGCCATTTCGTCAAAACGGACATATTATATTTTTTGAACGAAATCAAAACTGACTTTTTTTGCCAAAATCCGGTCGGAATTTTTGGCTCTTGGGGGTTCCGGCGTTCCCAAAATGCCGGCCCCCCTACATGTATCTGGTCTATGGTTGAGACATTTTGGCATCTGGTCTCAAGCTGAGACCAGATACATGTAGGGGGTCCGGTATTTTGGGAACGCCGGACCCCCAGGAGCAAAAAATTCTGACCAGATTTTCGCAAAAAGAATCAGTTTTGATTTCGTTCAAAAAATATAATATGTCCGTTTTTACGAAATGGCTGTTTTTTTTGACACCTGCCAAAGAAGTGCGATTGTTACGCTTAGGGGCGGAAGCAAGTTCTCTGGAACCCCCTAAGCGTCTCGAAGCAGAAACGGACGAACTAGGGATAAAGATCGCAACTAAGAACGTGCCATGGCAGGATATTTGTGACGGGTTACCCGGGAAGGACACGTGGCAATTCGGGAAGAAGATGCCCAGATGATGGCCACGGTGTTCTCTTGGCGATCGGATCACTCCTTCATTTCCGCACCCCCGCCCGATGTGGTGAAGCCTGCGCGCACAAAACAAATAGATGTACGGATCTGGGATCAACTCTTCGAGTTACACGTGCCACAGTACGTACCCGATGAAATTCATCGGTTGATTGCGGACATTTTGACGGAATATCGGGGAGCGATTAGCGTGACAGACATGGACATTGGCCTGTCGTTAGTTATTCAACACGAGATACAAACGGGAAACCACTCCCCGATCCATTGTAAACCGTACCGATACTCCCTGATAGAACGCAAAAAGGCTCTCGAACGAATTCGAGAATTCGAAGCCTGCGGATGGATCGAACCTGCCACCGGACCATGGTCATTTCTCGTCGTACTAGTGCCAAAGAAAAACGGAGCGATTCGCATTTGCATTGATTATCACAAGCTGAATGAGATCCCGATCAAAGATGTGTACCCCCTCCCCCGGATTGATGATTTGCTGGATGCGATTGGATGTGCTAATTATTTTAGCAAGTTTGATATTCGGCATGGTTTCCATTACATTCTGGTGAGAGAGGAAGATCGGCCGAAGACGGCCTTTGTATTGTTTGAAGGCACGTGGCAGTGGGTTCGCTGTCCGAGGATTTGCATTGCGCCTGCCACGTTTCAGCGAGCGATGAACACGACATTCCAGAATTTCTTCAACAAGACACGACTGACACAAGGGATGATTAACTTATGCGTGATCGTGTACATGGACGATATCCTGGTCTATTCGGAAACCTATCACGGACACGCGCAACATATCGAATGGACATTGGGCGCGTTGAGAGACGCTGGGTTCAAGATTGAGCTCGAAAAGAGCGAATTTTTCCTCTCGGAAATTCCGTTTTGGGGCTACGTCGTGACATGTGGAGGACTACGACCGGACTCAAGAAAGGTTGCAGCAATGAAGGAGGCCCCGGTTCCCACGTCACTGACGCAAGTTCGAGCCTTCTTGGGGGTGGGGTCATGTTCTAGCCACTGATTGGGATCGACGGCTCACAAGACACGGTGACGAGTACTATCCTGTCGACGGCATCGAGGTCAACACGCAGCGCACAACGCTGCGCGAGCCACCTGTCGTCCTCCCTGAGCTTGCCCCCTTCCAGCGGCGCAGATGAGCCGCGCCCCGATCTCGACGTTTTCCCCTCTCTCGCTCTTCCCCATCTTCTGGCAGTCCTCTCACTACCCCCGTCTCTCTTTCTGCCTGGAGCTGCTGGCAGTACACATCGTTAATCCGAATCGTTGGAGGTTGTGGCGTGCAGAGTTCGTTGAGCTCTCGTTCTGCCTGCAACGAGTGATCTGAACTAGACGTGGGAAGGCGATCGGAGGCCCGCGTCAGAAACCGTGGAGCTGCTCATCATGCAGGCATAGAGAACTAACGTGGCGGGAGACCTTCTGGGATTCGTCTTTGGAGCAGTGGATCGGGGTTACCGATCACAGATCGTGCGCGAACTTACGATCGTGATCGCGCGACTGGCCGACGAGCTCCCCCTCGATATCGTCTCTCAGAGCGATGAAGAGCCCGTGCCGCATGTCCTCTCAAGGACTCTCGCCCCGAGCCTCCAGTGGTCGGCTTGTATCGAGGAGCGCTGGGCGGACGGCCGTTTCCCATCTCGCAGCAAGTACCTGGACGTCCACAATCTAACTAACCCCCGCTTCTTTCGGCAACCAACGGCGTTCGAGTGGGCAGCGCTGAGAGGAGAGGAAGAAGCAGAAGAAGAATCGGAAGGAGAATTAAGGAGAGAGGCCGAGGAAGCAGCCACCCGGTTGGCCGAGGACGAGGAAGAAGAAGCGGCAGAAGCAGAGGACGAAGAAGAAGAAGAAGAAGAGGGGGAAACTTCGGAAGAAGAGGAAGAAGCCTATAGCGAGCACAGTGAGGGGGAGCAAAGTGAAGAGGAGGAGGACGAAGACGGCGACGAGGGAGTGGAAAGCGGAGAAGACGATCGGGAGCCAGCGCACGACGATGAACTCGAGTGGGTGCCAAAACTGGATTGTCGAGAGGAGAATCTTGAGGCCGCTGCGCAGCACAAGAAGGAGGTCGTGGAGGGAAAACGGCCAGTGATCGACCACATACCGAATGATCCTTCCAAGGATCCCGAGCCGCCCAAGCCGGAACATGGGGACCTTGCTGCCACGACCTCGAGTGCCGCGACGACAAGGCGCCGACCCCGATCCCGATCCTCATCCCCCTCCGCCTCCGCCCGTCCCCCAATTCGTCGACGTGTCGATGAGGGGCTTCGCCCTTCGTCCCCGATCCATATACCACCGTCCCCTTAGCCACCTCTCTTTCAATCAGTATCTTCATCGCGTCGTCTTCCCCCGTAATCCCTTCCCCATCGCCACCTTCCGACATTTTTATTCCGCCCGCCTAGAGCTGACTGTCCATCCCCACCCTTCTGTTCGGTGTGTCGTCCCCGATTACCCCCTCCACGTACTACTCCTTAGCGCCGCGTGGCAAGGCCGTAACCACATAGGGGTTTACTGCATTGTCACGGGGACATTCCCCGCTTGCGAAGACCATGATCGGTTCCGCACGGACGTCCTCCGAACCCTCATCTCCCTTTACCCAGAGTACCTCGCTTCCCTTCCCCGCAGCGGCCAGCGATTCCCCCGCTTCCATCGCATCGTCCGCTTTCAAGATCTTCCCTACAACCTCACTGCGATCGGACGCTTCATACCCGAACTCACAATGGAGCCGCCTTGCCCTCCCTCATACGCGTATCGCCTTCCTTTCCCCCTCCCGGTTAATTACTGATACAGAAGGTAATGGACGTGTGTCACGGCGACGGCACAAGAAAGATCCCGTCCTTGGATCGTCGAGAGCCCAATCTGAGGAACTAGTAGAAGAGCAGTGTTGCCACGATGGATGACGTCCACACGCAATTGAACGGTAAGTGACATAGAGAGAAGTGCTCCGCGTGTCGGTCGATCAGGGAAATCGACAAGTTGTCGGGCGGCCACAGGCAGTGGGTCACCCGAAATCAATGGTTTTGGGTCTTCGACCCGATGACTAGACCGTATTTTGACGGTACTCTTGTTTGACCTGACGGGGAAAATTAGGGGTACCCAGAGCACCCCTAATTTTGGATGTGCTGACCACTGAGAGTAACCCTCAAATTAACGAGGGGAGTTACCGCTTCTACCACGTTGTGCCCCACCACTCTTCCACTTGCTTCGAGTCTATTCCCGAAGCAGCTAGCCACGGGAAGGGAATACGGGAGTAGGCCTTGGCATGACCGTTTTACTTTCCACAATTGGAGCGGGAATGGAGCCTCGGATTTTATTAATTTTAATACCAGAATTAAAAATGGAAAAAGGAATTAAGAACAATAGAAGCGAAGAGAAAAACGGGATATTCTTTATTTTATTAAATTTCCTCGGTATTTAATTTTAATGGAATTGCCGTCGTTATTTGTTATTTCCAGTAATAGAATCAAAAATAGGGAAAAGAAATCAAAAACAATAAAAGAAGAAGAAAACAAAGAAAATTTTGTTATTGAATTGAATTCCACGGAATTCATTTTTGTTGGAATTATTTTTATTTTCATTATTTTTGATGATAGGATAAAGAAATAAGAAAAATAATTAAAAATGATTGAAAGGGAAGAAAATTAATGATTATTTAATATTTGATTAAATTTTGTTTAAATTATTCGTGATGGATTTGGGGCCGGATTATTTATTTACCCTGATTTAACGATCCTCCCTATTCTCCGATAATTTAGATCGCTCACGTGACTTACCTGATATATCTGGTTACTAGCCTTGCCGCAGTTGGTGTGTTTCGAGAGAGCGGGGCCGCATGGTCAGTGGGGGTTGGTGCTACCTTTGCACGACTATTGCTTCGATATCACGCTCGGTATTGGCTCGACATCAACATGTTTCAGGTTCGGTAATGACTCGGCGTCCGTACGGTACAGCCCACTGCAGTTCAGGACAGTTGCCTCAGGTTCGGTGTTGATTCGGCGTTGGCACGACACTGCTCGATATGTGTCTCAGATGCGGGTTAAGTTCAATGTCCACATCGGGTTGCACTGCCGCGACACTACTACTTTGTGTGATCACTAGTTTGGCGCCGAGACAAAATTCCGCGGTTTGGTACTTTTCCTTTGATACGGTCACTGGTCCGACATTGATGAGACTCGCAGCAGCCTCTTGCTACTATTTGGTGTTGTACTACTCCAGCTTGGTGTTGATTAGTGATACGGATTTGGCTCAACGACGGTCTGGTCACGCTGGTTCAAGTTTGGTACAGTATACTGATTCTAGACAAGTTCGACGACGGTACCACTGCAGATTGGTCAATGATACGGCATAGGCAAGGTACTGCGGCAGCGTACTATAGCCTGTTCCTTTTCTTTTCAAGCTCAGTAACTGGTGATCAGAGACACTGCAACTTGACTTTGTTCATTCCGCTCTACTCTGGCTCGACACTGGCCGTGTAGCAGTCTCGTGGATTTTTCACTGGTACAAACCTGCTATACGAATCTACCTGGCATATTTTTGTTGATACAGATCTCACTGGGCCTGGTGCCTGGCCCATTTTTTCCCAATGCAGGCCACACAGACCTGGTACGGGGCCTGCTTTTGCCAATGCGGAGTAAACTGGCAGTCTCTTGAGGTCACGGCCTCTGGTACCAGGAGAATATAACGAGGATTAACTGGTCTGGTAGGACATTCAGACAGGGGCAGTCTCTCGCAACATGCAAGGTGTACCCCGCCCACGTCGCTTATACTTATGATGTCAACGAGGGGTGTGTGCAAGGGGTACCCGCCCACTAACACGGGCATTTCGGAGGGACTCGGTGAGAGCAAGGTGTACCCGCGTATGCAAGCACGGGGGAGGCGCGTTGGCGCTCAGATGGTTACTCGCGTGTGAGAGGGAGAGGGAGAGAGAAGGGGACTGCACAGTGGGAGCGAGAGACTGTGTGTGAGAGGGAGAGTGAGAGAGAAGGGGACCGCACAGCGGGAGTGAGAGACTGCGTGTGAGAGGGAGAGTGAGAGAGAAGGGGACTGGACAGCGGGAGTGAGAGACTGTGTGTGAGAGGGAGTGACTGTAAAGAGAGAGAGAGAGAAGAACTGAGCAGTGTGAGAAAGAGGGACTGAAGTGTGAGAGGGAGTGACTGTGCAGAGAGAGAGAGTGCGCAGTGTAAGAGAGAGAGAGTGCACAGTGAGAGAGAGTGTGTGCAGAGTGAGAGAGAGTGTGTGCAGAGTGAGAGAGAGTAGGTGCAGTGCGATGGAGAGTGAGTGACACGTGTGAGAGAGAGAAAGACTCCGCTTTATTTTTACTTTTTTTTTTTTTTTTTTTTNCTTTTTTTTTTTTTTTTTTTTAATAATTCATCGATTTCGGACTTCACGCTCCTGGCGTTGCTCGCCTCCGGATACTTTCAAGTTCGAACGTTTAAACTGACCGCTTGGTGGAGAGGTCACAAGGACAAGAAGAACGTGGCGATCAAGCAGGGCACAAATGATCAGAGAGCCGAAGCAATCAGTGAGCTGGATGCGCCCTACAAATGGTTGCCAAAGAGGCGGTCAACTAATAAATCGAGCCAATGAAATTGCAGGCTGTCAGGTTATAAGTAGTTGGGTTGAAGCTACGACAGCCAGCCACTGAACTGCAGATTGTTAAGGTAGCCGCTGCTCCCATCGATTCGCGCGCAGTCAACACACTGTCAACCATACTTCAGCTCACTAGACCGGTGAGCAACTGGGCGGCAGTGCTCGAACAACAAGGGCTTGTCACCTGCGGAACGGGCGAAAATGGAGTAATTAGGCATATTCGATCTGCCATTATGGCAGCATTTGAGTGTGCGACGTTGACATGCCGGGCGACCCCTGCCACCTGAGAGTAACCAAGCATTTGTAACCTGCTGATCACACGAATGAGGGCCTTGCTGTGTCGTCAGTAGTGGAGCTTTGCTTGTTGATCAGCTGTCTGGTTAAGGGCTAACAACTGTCTTTCACCTTCTCTAACGGTGACTGACTATCCAAATTGGGTATCTGTGAGAGGATCTCAAGGTAATAAACGTGACCCCCCCCGCAGCCGGGTAATTAATGACTGAGTCACGTCCACCATGTGTCACGTTTCTACAGCGAGCTACCTGTCACTATACACCTCGATTTCACAGTAAGCCACCTCTCCCTGTGCGTTGTGTCACTTTACCCACACCCACACCCACCCACCCACACACACACACACACACACACACACGCAGCTCATTGATTAATCAGGCAGCAGATGCTCATTAGAAAACCAGACATTCACTACTCAAAGGCAGCGCAGAGAACTGTGCCCGTCCAGACGGGCTTGAGCTCTCAGTTGCATGCGCGTCTGATTTCAGACCACTAGGGAGTATGCATGCTTCGCGACCTGCAGATGGAATCAAAGTCTTGCATTTGGGATGATTTGGCTGAACAGCGAGAACACCACCTTGTTGATTGACATGCTGTTATCTGCCTCCGAATCACTCCTCGATTGACTGGTGATTATTTTATTTATCAATAATACTTACAGATCTTATCTGGTTGTCTTGTCACCCTTCTGTTTGTTTGGCAATGAACTGTTCTGAAGCAAAGGGGGCAAAACCCTCATGATCCGTCCAAGCATGAAGTCTAAACTCACCCAACAGATGCGAGTGCTTTAATTGGGCAGGACAATTTGTCTTTTTCCGTGACTAAGTAATGATATGGAATTCTCCCAAGAGAAGGGGGAGTGGTAGGTGGCTCTCAAAGGTTACCCTGCTGGTCGCTGAGGACCTCCAAAGCGGGCGCGGCGAGTGACAGGCGTCGTTGCCCTTGGCTTCAACGAACGGTAGGCGGCCCCTCCCCGGATTTCTTGACAACGTGTCATAAGCAAGGAGGAGCTTGCTAATTCTGGAACCCCCTGGGCGTCACATATGCGACGAACCACTTTCTGTAATGCGCGATTTTTTGCACAGTTGCAATGAGGGGTCCTAAGTTGGGAAGGTTGGGCCAATTATGGGAGATCGGGATCGGTGAGAAATTGCATCGGTGTCCTTGCTTTTTCGTCTTTTCCTTCGCTTCTTTTCGAATGGCTGGGCTCGGAGCTGGGCGTGTTCTGGGATGGCCGGTTGATTGATTGGTCGGCTGGATGGCTGGTGCGCCTTCGTGCGCGCGATTAATAAATGTTGACGTCGTTTTTCTCGCTTCGGTTTCGATCTTTTGGGCGCACATATCGCGCGAAAATTTGCCTTGTTCTTTTCAAATTTTTCTTTCAAATCTTTCTCGAATTTTGTCGAGCCCCGATGGCTCTCGGAATTTCGGACTTTCTTCCCGGAACCTGTACTTTTGC